CACATCGATCACAGGACAGCTGGCACACCGGCCCTCGCTGGCAGCTGTAGTGAGCATTCGACTTCTGGTGCCCGAGCGGCCAGAAGAACCACGCTCCCCTCCTGTGGGTTGCACACGCAGCGTGCATGGACACGGTCTCTGCACCCATTGCCCACGCGTGTAGCAACACACAGCAGCCCCTGGCATGCACTCCCACGGGCCCACGCGCACCTAGGAGCTGCCGGCTTCACTGGTGCCAGCGCCAGCCTGCTGCAATTGAGTTGGCAACCCGCGTCGTGCAGGGAAAGGAGCGCGTCTCCTTTCTATTTGCAAAGCAGGATTGAGGAGATAAAGCTCTTTATCTTGTATTTAATGGTAAAATATATTCCCCCAACCGTTTCATGCTGCCAGCAGATTAGATCATTCTATATAAAAAAAGAAACCCAGAGAAACCCTATTAATCTGCAAATGCCCGGCGTGTCCCCCCGCCTCCCCCCCAAACACTTAGTCCTGGGGATAATTTAGAGCCGGGCGAGGTAAATGCTGGAGATGCTGCTCTTCGCCCGAGATTAAGGGCTTTGTTGCCACGTTAATTTGTGGTCTCCCGCACCACTGCCGCTGCGATTTACCCCCATCGTGAAACGCACCCAATAAGGGTGTAAAACACCCCAGGGACGCTGATGCGCCCACGCTGACGCTGTGTCTCTGCTTTCTCCCCCCACGCCAGAGCAATCACGCTGGACAACACCCTGGTCATCCTGTCGACGGTGGCACCCGACGCGGGGCGGTACTACGTGCAAGCTGTGAACGACAAGAATGGGGACAATAAGACCAGCCAGCCCATCGCGCTCACCGTGGAAAGTGAGTGCACGGCGGGCGCAATGCCCGACTGCCCTGGAGCTGCGGCGTGCACCCTTCCAGCCTCTGCCATCCACCCGTGTCCTCATAGTGGGGACGCCCGGGGGTACGAAGCAGCCCGCGGGTGCCACGGGCCAGCAGTAGCGTGAGACCCGGAGGGGTTGTGGAGCAGACCCCGCTGGTACCCCCGTCCTGCCTGCGCCGTCGTGCATCTGGCGTCCTGGCCCCTGCTTCCCGGCGCTCCGCTTGGCTCAGGCCCAGATTTAATTTGCAGTAAATCTCTGCAGAGGCTCCGGCTTCTGCTGACTTCACAATTCAGCCTCCTCAAATTTATTTAGGCACTTTGGGCCCAGCCGCAGGCGCTCATTATCTCGCACCATAGCCCCCGCTTCACCCGCCCCTGCCACCCAGCTCTGTCCTTGCCCACAATCGATAGGGCCCACGAAGGGCACCCCTCACCCGGCCCCGGCAAGGAGCATTGCTGCATTTCTTAGCCCGGGTCCCAAGCCGGCAGGTCATGCCCCCTCACTCCTCGCCTGCTGTGGGGTATCCAGCACGGCTTGGAGGTGTCGCTTGCTTCCCAGGAGCTGGGCAGAGCATGGGTACCCCCAGACAAAGCCATGGTGCTCCTAATTCAGGCTGCAAAGAGGCTTGGCTCTGGCTCTCCTTCTCCTGGCTTTATGCCTCTCCCGTCCCTGCCCCGCTCATCCCCGAGCTCCATGAATCTGTTGTTCGGTAGCTCGGCATCCCCGCGCGCCATAAACAACGCCGGGGCCATGTTTATGGATTCAGCTATATCAGCAGCTTTCAAGCCGATCACTTTTTTACGGTGCCTACATGAGGGTTTTTTATTGTTGCAATTATTTTGCTTTATATAGTCCCCCGCCTTTCCTGGCTGTACCAGGCTGCTGCCTGCCTGCTCGGCTTCCCCCCGCCCCGGCCCTGGAAGGAGCTGCGGGGTGCGGGATGCAGCCGGCAAAGTGCGGCTGTCCTGCTTTTGGGTGGAAGTCGGGGAGGGGAAGTCAGCCAGGGGCCCTGGGCATGGCAGAGGTCCTGGCTGGGTGGCAGGGAGGCCTCTGCAAGGCAGGCTGGGGTGGATTGAGCTCTCCTTGGGTCACAAGACTCCAGATGTGGCCTCCCCAGTGCAAAACAGAGGGGAAAAATCACTTCCTTCGATTTGGCAGTGCTCCTACCAATGCAGCCTTCTTGGCAACACGGGCGCGCTGATGGCTGCCACGTTTCTCTCCCTAGATGTT